TAAGTCAATAATTTATATCTAAAAAACATTTGATTGTTATTAATCGCTTTAATTACCACGTAGAAAAAGAACATTCATCTAATAGATAATAATTTTACTTTTGATGTATTATACCAAATAAAAAAGCGCACGTATTTGGCTGTTGATAACCGGAAATAAATTATATAATATGTATTAAGCGCAGTAATCTCTGTCTTCTACCTTACGCAAGCATAGATGTATCTATTTAATATTTTGATTATTTAGATATTTATATTTGCCCAACTTGCCCCTATGTGCAATTAGTCCCGCTCTATCTTACTCAACATGTAATTAAAATTAGGTTTTAAAAGAAGATAAAAAGGCACCAAGTGTACACTTACTCCTCGAAAAAAACTGTTGTATCAAATTAAAAGTAAAAACCCAAGTAGTAGATCTTTTCATTGAGGGTCTTTCTATTCCAACCCAAGTAATAGCAGTAAGTATCCGGGGGGGTAACTGGAATAAACCTAAAGCAACGGTGGTTTAAGAGGTCAGAGGAATAGAAGCGATGGGGTAGAAGAAGATCTGAAGAGGGGTCCACTTCTTCATGATCTCTCGCGTATCGGCATATCCTCGAAACGACGTCTCGCAGATAAAGCAAGGTAGACTACTTCTTGTGGGAACTACTTCTTGCGGTGTGTTTCTGCCCGGCGATTCGTTCTTATTGCATTCGGGAAGCGGTCGGAATTTCTATTTCATAATAACAGCCGTGTACACACGACGGGGCCCATCGCGCGCGCACTCCGGGGAGAGGCCAGCTATCAAGAGAGACCATTCCTCTCCTCCTCCACCTCCTCCGCCTCCTGCTCTTCTTCTTTTTCTGCTTTGCGCACCTCTCTAGCTGGTGTATAGACAAGTACCCACTTCAGACTGGTTTCGACTCGACTGGGACGGACTCGAGCCCACTCGAGTGCGTGTAGGTGCGTGTTATGCGGGCCGTATCACCCGGCGTAAAACCGCGCACACATCGCGGTGGTCGTCGGCCGTCCCGTCCCGTTTCCAACCAGATGCGTGCCGACTTTTATCTCTTTGACCCACTATTTTCAGGACGGCCGTAATTGAGCGGAGTCGCGCGCCGACGAGCCGCCGCTCGTGGAATTCATTAGCGGGATCCACGTCTTAATTTGTCGACGCGACGAAACGCGCGGACGGACCAGCGTAGCTCGGATTTCGCGAATCTGGTCGAAATAATTGCCCTTATGGAAAAAAAAAATGGAAAAAGTACACTGTTCGTTCCAATTTTTTTTTTTTCAGTTTTTTCACTAATTCGATAGTATTTCTCCAAAGGTGAAGCGACTGACTGAGCAATCACTTTTTAAAATTATAGACATATCGAAGAGCACGATGCAAGAGTAATTTGACTAAAACTCGAGTAAATTAATCCTAAAATTGAAATTTAAGATTAATTTAATTGATCATCACGCATCATATCATTAATTTGCTTCTACGATTATTATTAAGTTTATTATAAATTTACATAATTAATATGAGAGAGAGAAAGAGAGAAATTGCTTGGTCCCAAATAATTGATATAATTATGTACAATTTATTATTACGCAGAAAAAAAATATATACTAGATTTAACCTTTCGTCGGCATATTGGACTTTAAAGTTAATTTTTTAATGTTCTTCAAAAGAAAAGAAAATTTTTGAGTACATGATGATTAAATGAGTTTTTAATTATTAAGGACTATATTTTAAGATTATTATCAAGAAAATATTTTTTGTTAAACATAATCATTCAAAGAAAAAAGTAAATTTATCGATAAATTCTTTTTTTTTCTTTGTATATCAATAGCTTGGAAAACAAGATTTCTCTATTTCTTAATTTATTAAATAATTTTTTTAAATGCCTCTTTTATATCATGAAATTGGTTTCAAATGAGTAACTTATAAATCACTTACAAATAAAAACGAAATAATACATAAATAATGCATGTGATGCAAACGTAATGTATTACCAAGCCCCATTATTGTTATCCCAAGCAAAACAACAAGACACGATGACGTCAAAATGAATCATTACACTGTGATTACTGATTGAAAAGTGGTTTCTGATAATTCTTTTGGGGCTATTTTGACGTTATTTTGATATCATGATGACTTGTGCTCTGCAGCTATCAATTTGGCCAGTTTAGAGACTTCGAAGTCGACAGCCTCACAGCATCTTGTGAGAATGTTACACATCCTCGTATATCGTCCACCTCGATTGCGAGACGTCGTCAGGTCCGGCGACAGTTCCTTTTAGCGTATTATTGAATTATAACCGTTTGCTCTTCGCGAAGTCTACAAAGTCGGTGAAGTATTTTTCCTCTCTCAGCCGCGCGCCACGAGAGAAATTAGGTGGACGGCCAATAATAGCGCGCGTATATTTTCCCAGTATCCTTGAAGAAACACGCTTTTAGATCTCGCTTCCGGCAAGCTTCTTTTTCCTCCTGCCGCGAGGGATCCCCCATCGCGCGATTGATCGATTACGTTCCGATCGATGACGAATTCCATGCAACAATTCGATGTCTTAAGGATGTCCAAACGATGTCCCGTTCACCGTAAGACTAGAGAATAATGCATAAAGCATAAGAAAATTAATCAAGAATTTATAGAAAGAAAAATTGAAGGACTTTGGTTCATTTTCTTATGTATTATGCGTTATGCAAGACTCTTATGCTACCGTCCATACATGGACGTACCAAAAAAACACACTAAGTCAAGAGAAAGTAAAATGACTGTATTTTACGTCATGCAAGTCAAAATAATGATTTTTTTATTACAAAATTTGACTGTATATTGACGTTAAGAATTAGAATATCCCCAAACAGAACAACAAGTTACGATACCGTTAAAATGACATTAAAATGAATCGGAAATAATTGAAAATGATTTTTAATGATCATTTTGGAGTCATTTTGATTTTTCGTTGATTTTTGTGTGTTCCTTGAGAATACGTCTTTACCAGTAGACATCGTACGTACAACGTATGTTCCACCCAACCCATCCAATAGACATCGTTAATATTATATAAAAAACATATTAAATCAAATCAAAATGACTTAATTTTGTCTAGTAAACATTTAAAGTACGTCTCAAGCCCAAAGAAACCATCAAATCAAGGCAAAGTCAAAATGACTTTGCTTTGCGTCTTTAACTATTTATTGATGTTAAGAATCGAAAGAAAGTCATTTTGATTTTTTATTGATTTTACGTATTCCATGGGCTTGGGGCGTATTTTATATATCTAACATAAACGGGACCTTTCAGGACATATTTCAAACGTCTAAAGATGTCGAGTGTCGCGTGGAATACTCCACTCGCTTTCGCGAAATCGTACTCTTTGCAAACGCAACGGCGCGACTAAGCGCGACGAATGCGAAACGAGACGAGGCTCGCAGAAAAATTTCTCGTAACGAGTTCGTCGACACGGGAAAAGTAAATACATCGGCGCGCCGTGGCGCCTCTCGTTACAGCTCTCGCATCACGGCAAGATGTCCCGTTTCTGCGTGGCCGTTTTTCTTTCTCGAGACGCGACTTTTATTGCCCATCCTTCGAACGATCGATCGTCGAGAGGCCGACGTCGTGAATCGTGAAACCGAAACACCGCGACGCGACGCGCCGCGCCGCGCCGAGACTTGAATGCGCTCCGCCGAGTCGTGATGACGTATCGACAGGCCGCGGTGGAAAACTGCATCGTTACACCTTCCTCTACTGTCCCGCTCCCCGCCGTCTGCAACCCCGTTTTCCGCATTTGTTTTTGTTGGACACGTACCGCGAATATGCGCACGGAGAAGATTTTTCGCTCGCACGCAACCGGCATCTCAGCGCGGACCTAATTCGTGGAAGAAGCGGAATTCGAACTAAGACTCTGAGAATAATTCAATTCTAAAATTAAAATTGGATCGATTAGATCAGCGATTGCATATCTATTCGATTGTTTTTTTCTTATAAAACACGTATCTCGGAGAGATCATGCGATTGTAAAAAAACAATCCTCGCCGCAATTCTTCGCAACAATTCTTCGTGATTTATTATGATTGTTAGAGAATCACTCCTTATCGCGTATTTATATATTTGTTTGCTTTGTTAAATAACCGCAGCAATTATTCAATATATAAGCGATGACACAGTTAAAAACATTTTGTACTTGTGTTAAAACTCAGTCCTCGTTAAATTTTTATGTTGAATTTTTTATATACTCAAGTATTGATTTAATATAATGTGTGATTATATTATTTAAATATTTTGTATAAAATTAATATTTAACATTTCTTATAATTAGTGTTGAAATAACTTGTAAGTAAATAAACAAACATAAATAGTAATATAGTTTTAAAAAATAATATATTAATATATTACATATGTTAATTTTATTGAAAAAATTTGCTTCCAAATTGTGCAAAAGTATTACATTTATTGTGTTACTTTTTAACATATTCATCTTGTAATAAATTAACACAAAAAACTTAAGTGAACGATGGGATGTAACAAATGTATTAAGTAAATACAACACAAATTTTCAACTGTTATTAGAATCATTATTATTACTACAAACGTTCCCAAGTAGCAAGTAACATTATTTGTCATCATTCCTGATATCAAATAACATTTACGAAAATATTTTAACGTCAAAATAACGACAATGACATCTGCTATCTAAGTGGATACGTATCTCGAACAATCCATCCAAATTTTATTAATTCAATACAAGCTGAATATATTAAAAAGTAACACAATCATTAAGAAAAAAATTAACACAAAAAAAATAACATTTGGAAATAAATTTTTGGAAGCATATTTCTTCATAAAATTAACATTATTTATAATACGCTAAATTAACGTTACATTCATTATTATTTATTCATTCTAGAATGGATAAGTTCGTAGAAAATAGGAATATATGCGTCGCACAAATAATCTTCGCTTCCACGAAAGTTGCTACGAATCCGACTTCTAGTTTGTACACAGTAGGAGAGTTAAGATGATCTTACCAGCAGCCTGGAATACATGGAGATCCCGTCGCGTTCTAAATTTCTGTCCATCGTGCGACAGCTGCACTTGTTTCAGGTACTCTCTGTGCGCTCTCTCGTACTCGGCCTGGCTCACGTTCGCCTGGAAACAAAATGCCATAATGGCTTCCTTAAAGCCTCATCATCGGTTCAGAAATGGTCGCTTACGTAACGTTGCGTGTATAATAGCGGCGGGACAATTACAACGCACATATACGGCGCGAATAAAGAGTAACTACCGGAAGCGCGTTCTTGCTTCTTGGAACTTTTACGGATAGAAATTTATAAATGTGTCTCTCTGCGCTCGTTCGGCGTCTTATTCTTATTACGAACGCTGCGTACAAAATGCTGACGATGATCTTTTCAAATATGAATGACACGAAAAATGTTAGTTGAAAATTAATGTAATACGTGTCCACAAAATAAATTTTTTTAAATAATTTTGTACTATCAAAATAATTATAAAGGACTCAAACTGGTTGCTGATGGAATGTCAAAACTTTTTGCAGCATTACTCATCGCGATTGAGATTTTTGTGTAATTATTTTAATAGACGAATGAAATCATTTTCAAACCTGTATTTAGCTAAATTTTTAGATACTCCTACAAAATTATGTTTTTCGTAGTTTATTAAAGAAAAGTTTATTTTCAGAAAAAGTTAGAAAAAAAATTTCCTCGTAGAATTCAAAGATGCTAAATAATATAAACAAGAATCTCGTTGTGATTCGTTGCGATTGCTATTCAAGATCTCGACAATTCTCTTTCAAGAGGCGCTTGACGAGGTCGCCTGAACTCGTCGATTGAACTTTCGGTCCATTTAATTGATTCCCTGGTTACATCCGACGAGGTCAAACTCAAGAGCGATAATTACTTCGCGGACGTGACATCGAAATTATCTAATTTTCTGAGGTCACGACATCCTCCGAGCGCCACGGCGCTCCTCTCTCGACCCGGTTAAGTAACGACCCTTTTCTTGCCTTCTCATATTCCCGTCCCTCTCCTGAAATCTCATTCACCCTGTCTCTTTTCTCACCGTCCCACCCTTCACGTTTTTCTCAGTCGCATCTCTCATCTTACCCCGATCTTACCCCGATCCCGTTGCCGCCGCGCTCCTCCCGTTTTCTCGCTCGACTTCCTCGAACCCATTCTCGGCTACTGTTTCACGACGATGGCGATGAAACAACCAGCGAGCGAGCGAGCGCCCTTTTCCCTCCTCGCCACCGCGGTGAGAAAGACCAGACAACGACGAGCCGGCGCTCGCAAAATTAGCTCGTTGAGGCCGCGACCACTGGCGTGGCTCAGCAGACGGAGGATAATGGACCACTAGAGGGTGTGAGAACTCTCGTCCGTCGGGTTCAGAGTCCCGGTTCTACAGTAGGAAACTATCTATCTTATGAAGGGCGATACTCTTATTATTAAGAGCTCCAATTTGTAATTCTGCATATGTGAATGTTGTCGTATTATAATTTTTAAATTAAACATCGTTTATGTGTGCAACTAAAACATTGTTCTTTGCATAGAAATAAATATACTAATTAAGTCATAATTTAATTTGACGATTCTGGATTTGAAAAGAGATCTGGCTCTCGATTAATAAATGAATAATTTAGGATCATTTGTATGCACTCACTCAGCTAGATATAATTAGATTAAATCAATAAAAATGATTTTGCTCGAAGAGAAAATATATTGAAAAATTTTTTATCATATTGAATCTTTATTCCTTATAACTGTATTAAAGGGATCATAAGGAGACACTTTCTAAAAATTGACACATTTTTGAGATTATTTAAATATTCATGCCAATGTATTTTTTAACAATAATTCTTCAAATCCAATAATTGTTATTACATCTAAAGAATTATTGCTAAAAAAAAAAAACAGATATTGCCATAGATATTTGAGTAAGTAATTCCACAAATGTCAATTTTTAAAAAGTGTTTCCAACATAAAATCTTGTGTCCACGATGCTAGAAATCGCTCCGAAATCTGAGACAATGCGATTAATTGGTCAATTCATTCTTCATTATTTCTCTTAATTGATTTATTCTCGTCGATCTAATATTACAAATTATAATTACATGCACTGTGCACAAAAAATAAAATGTCTTTAAGCTAAAATTAACATTTTATTTTTTACAGTGTGTTAGATCGTGTAGAATTCACTTCCTTGTGTACGTAAAATTAAATTATTGCTCTTGGCTACGTGCGTGATCTAATCGTTACGTTATCGTGCGGAATCTCCGCGAGACGAAACGTATCTCGGTCGCTGCACCAAGCCGCAAAACTGCGTCGTCGTCGTCGTTGGTGCAACATGCGGCATGCAACCGGAAGTGGCGCCGTCGAAACGAGCTGCGAGCAGGAGAAGACGACGGCGCGCGCGCGCCGATGAATCATCGTGCGATCCGCGAAGAGACGTGTCGCGACTTGACGCCTCCGCAGTACCTTCTTACAGTCACTTAACCGCTTAAGAATCGCTTAACCGTTCGCCCAGCCTGGTTCCGGTCGCGGGATTGGCACACGAAAACAAATTTTTGGATCACCGCGATCTCGCAACGCGGACGAACGCGAACTAAGAATTGCGCCGCGATTGAGCGAGTGAGTCACGAGAACCTCCAGGAAACGACGGGGCGTGCAGGACTCCTCCTCAACGACCTCAATTTTTTCAATTATTACAAATCGCCGAATTAATTTCCGTGAATGCGACGCGAATGTCGCCGCCACCCGCAGGGCAGGTAGAAGTGGAGTTATTTCCTAATCGCCATCGATCTCTCGTATTGTATGCTAATGTCGCGGCCACCGGAGAACGCGTCTTGAAATATTAATCACGTCGAAAGAAAGAGATGGATAAAGCATTTATTACCGTTCTAGGGTAAGCCTTTTAAAAATATGCACTGAAAGAAAAAAAATGATTGTAATTAGCATATAATTTATAGTCATTCTTTGGAACAGTTATTTACTTATAATTATTTTAACCATGCTAATATAATCAATTGTGCTATTAATAATAGTCACTGCTTGTGAACATTTTTAGTTTTAATTTAATTTAGCTATAATTTTTTATTGAGTTAATGTTTATTTACTGTAAGTCAGTGTTTACTTAGTACTATTAAAAAAAAAAAAAAAATATGTATCAAGATTTAGTAATTTTTTCCTCAGCGTATAATTATACAATATAACGACAATTTACACGTATTACTCGTTACATTAAATTAAGTTCCTTTTAAATCCTTGCCATTTCTCTTTGGCAACACGTGCACGCATAAATCTGTTACGGACCGGCACGGCACGGCGCGGTGCGGCGTCACGTCGCGTCGATACTTTTGCCACAAAGTTTTATGCTGATATTAACGCCCACGTGGGGACCTGTCACGGTTGTCATCGTCGTAATGTCCACGACGATTAGAGAAATCATCTGTGACGTATGATATATCGTTTCTTACCGCGGTAAAGTTCGAAATCACACGGCTCGCAGTCGATGGACGTTGTGTCGTGGGAACGTAGGAGTCGCGCGATCCGTCCTGTTATAAATAATGATAATAAATAAGATATTCGCGGAGCCACGAGTGTAGAAAGCGCATTCTTGCGATCGCCTGGCTATATTTTAGACAAGAAATGTCTGCTTTAACTTGAAGTTTTATATGCTTGCGATAAATTCTTGAGGAATAATCTAACCTATCGTTGTTTTTTTTTTTTAATATTTAATATTAGTAAGTTGAAATAAATTAATAAGACTCGCTCAAGAAATTTTCCCTTCCAATGGTTGTTAGTCACTACTGCCACTAATGTCTTAAAATTATTTCAATCAAGATAAACTATAAATTACGCGATGATTACGCGAATGTGCAGAAATTACATTTATCCGCTACGAGTTGCAATTTGCAGTATTATATTGTAAATGTCCGCGTGTTAACGTTAATAGATCCTCAGCGACCCTCTGAAGTTATGCAACGTCATACCAATGTTATTTCTCACGTTTATGCAAACGTAAGTGTCTGCAATGTGATAGCAATAGGGACAGAGGACAACATAAAAATAACATAAAGTCTAAAATCGGGATCTAAGATATCTTTAAAATGTCTCTTAGACATCTTGAAGATGTCTTATCGCTCATTTGCTACAACAATATAATTATCATTTTTTAGTTGCTTGCAGAAAAGCAATGAAAATAAAAAAAGAATACTCTGAAAAATAGCGATGTGAATGGTATTAAATGTTAAATTTACATATTGTTAAATGTTAAATTCACAATTATATAAAAAGTACTGCATGCGGTATATATATTATGTGTCTATATAATTCTTATTGTGTTGCTGTTAATATTAACACCAACATGATGCAGAATTATGGATTTAACACCATGGGTTTTAAATCCATATCATGATGGTATTGATATAAACATCAGTTTAAAATTCACCATATTGATGTTAATATTAAGCAATATAATGAGAATTATATAGATTTTATATAAGTGTTAAATCCACACCAATATTTTTTAGTGAAAAAAATAAAGACAGAAAAGAACATTATTTTAAACAAAACATTTACTCCTCTACAATCAATTATTGTACCAAAATTGCAAATTAATATTACAAAATTTTAATGACACAAAACATTAAAACTTATTTTTGAAAAATTTTGTAATGTTAAGTTGTATAACAAATGAGTTGTTATACGATAGTAAACGAGTGTTATATTTCGATTCTAGACTTTTGTTATTTGCGATCTCTCAAGACGTGCATCCCCGAGGAAAGATCTCGCATGCACCTTCCGGTGAATATCCTCCAACAGAATATCCTCTTCCCTTAAATAACGGAGGCGATCAATTGATCTTTTTGAATACGTATATTCATCCGTGAATTATGCAGATCCTCGAGAGAATCCTCAAAGGATTCGCTACGCGGAATGCATGCATTGTGCAACATCGTGAGGAGGAGTCTCTCTTCCCACACGTCCCGAGAGAGATGCGCTTTGACGTTTGAATTTATTTATTTATTTATTTATTTTGCCACGTACGCGTTCGAATGCGAGACAAACCGTGTCCCGCGCGAGGCATCTTTGGGCGCTGTCCTGATTTCGGTTTAAAGCCAGGAGCCAGGAGCG